TTATCACAAATGTTTTGAGTATCATTGTTTTCGATAATTCCGTGAACAAAACATCAAGAAAATAGTGTGTCCTTATTCACAGCAAATTCTCGCCAAGTGATCTGAGTTACAATGACTTAGTATGAAGCATACCGGAGTGAGGCCCCCTTATCTTTATAAGCGTGCAGACCTTTATGTAGCCATTTGACGTCATAGGGGAAAATCCATTTTCAACACATATTGCGAGTCACTTTTAAGATTGAGTGTATAACGCTATACATAAGCACACAAACTAATTTAATACATACCTATGTCATTCAGGTATCAGGCAGAATTTTGTTTCGCTCACACTTTCCGTGAAAGATGCCAAATTGAATATATAGTAGCACAGTACTTTTATCAGTGCACCATAAAAGCAGAGAAATTTACTGTTTTTAACGCATAACAAAATTAGGAGTAACATTCAGCAGTGTCTACTTTTCAAACTGAGTTTATACCATGAGATACGACATTTAATCATCTACATTTCTGTGTAATTTTATAGCTGTAGGTAGATCCAGTGCGGCTCAAACAAAATTCTGGCGTAATGTTCACTTTTCCAGGACGTTTAATTATGCTCTAATGATACCCCAGGACCTTCATTAAGTTAATGACGCACTAATGACAACAGAGCATCATTAAAACGTTAGTACAACAGAATTTAATGATACATTACTTAATGAACGTTTAATGGCACGTTAATGCTTCATTAAAGTTTGATACAACCGGGTCCTGGCTAATAGTGTTGGCACATCAGGCTAATAGTGTTGGCACATCAGCCTAATAGTGTGGGCACATCAGGCTAATAGTGTGGGCACATCAGGCTAATAGTGTGGGCACATCAGGCTAATAGTGTGGGCACATCAGGCTAATAGTGTGGGCACATCAGGCTAATAGTGTGGGCACATCAGGCTAATAGTGTGGGCACATCAGGCTAATAGTGTGGGCACATCAGGCTAATAGTGTGGGCACATCAGGCTAATAGTGTGGGCACATCAGGCTAATAGTGTGGGAACATTATAATCCTTGGTTTACCAGCACCAATATATCTGTGCTTGCAGACATCTATGGCATACATCATTGTGGGCTCCCACTAAGCTGCACATGGTCACAGACTGAAATACTGTTAACTGTTTGTTGTATAACACTGCACTCAACAGTTATATAGCTGTACAGTGGCCGCATGTAGATAGATGTCTGGGCCTGACAATTCAGTGATCAATATTGTGAGCAAAATTCACTCAATCCAGGTGCAAGGACAGTTGGTGTAATGGGTCAAGTCATTGAGATTGACCATCTCTTACAAGTGAGTGAATAAGTATGATATGTACTTTCAGCAATATTCCATCAGCTTTATACATTGTACCCATTATGGGAATCAAACTCAGGTTTCGGCATGACAAGTAAACACTTAAACCACTAACCTACCCCACCACCCCACACATCTAACAAGACCAGCATAGGCTGATGGGAATCTGTTCTAATCTGGAATGCCCACGACTGTTGAAAGTGATATTACATTACGCTCACTTCAACAGAGGATCACTAATGATAAGTTATTCTTGTATAATTTGAAACCGATTCCAATTAAAACTAATGACATTCTTTCTATGTGGAGGTTATGTTTCTATTTCGCCAAAACAAGCATAAATGATAATGATGTGTCCATTATGGCCATACAAAATATGTATGTTCAAAAAATGATTTGCAAATGTTCTATTTCTACTGCTGTCATTCATATTACATATTGATTGGGAGGTAAGAGTGTGTGTGTGTGTGTGTGTGTGTGTGTGTGTGTGTGTGTGTGTGTGTGTGTGTGTGTGTGTGTGTGTGTGTGTGTGTGTGTGTGTGTGTGTGTGTGGACTGGTTTTGAAGTGGCTAGGAGTCATGCTGACTTACTGTCAGTTATTATATCAGATGAAGAAACAATAAACTAAAATAGAAATAGCACTTGAAATGAGGATTCTTCAACCTGAATTTTACTGCATTCTTTTAATATTTTCTTTTTATGTTTTATAAGAAATTGGAACTGAAGGATGACTGGTCTTAAATTGAAAATGTTTGATGTTTCCTGGTTTGTAGGACACTGCTTCAGTGAGTTTTACCCCATGACATGAACTTCAAGACCATTTTCATCATGTTTCACATTTTGTATACATGGTGCATGCTGGGGGAGTTGTGGATTGTTGCCATGGCAGTGAGTGATTACTTCATTGGAAAATGGGGTTTAGCTGATATACTAGATACCCTTATGAATGGGGTTAGATATACCCTATCCCCTAATGAATGGGGTTAGATATACCCTATCCCCTAATGAATGGGGTTAGATATACCCAATCCCCTAATGAATGGGGTTAGATATACCCAATCCCCTAATGAATGGGGTTAGATATACCCTATCCCCTAATGAATGGGGTTAGATATACCCTATCCCCTAATGAATGGGGTTAGATATACCCTATCCCCTAATGAATGGGGTTAGATATACCCTATCCCCTAATGAATGGGGTTAGATATACCCTATCCCCTAATGAATGGGGTTAGATATACCCTATCCCCTAATGAATGGGGTTAGATATACCCTATCCCCTAATGAATGGGGTTAGATATACCCAATCCCCTAATGAAAGGGGTTAGATATACCCTATCCCCTAATGAATGGGGTTAGATATACCCAATCCCCTAATGAATGGGGTTAGATATACCCTATCCCCTAATGAATGGGGTTAGATATACCCTATCCCCTAATGAATGGGGTTAGATATACCCTATCCCCAATGAATGGGGTTAGATATACCCTATCCCTAATGAATGGGGTTAGATATACCCTATCCCCTAATGAATGGGGTTAGATATACCCTATCCCCTAATGAATGGGGTTAGATATACCCTATCCCCTAATGAATGGGGTTAGATATACCCATTCCACTAATGAATGGGGTTAGATATACCCATTCCCCTAATGAATGGGGTTAGATATACCCTATCCCCTAATGAAAGGGGTTAGATATACCCTATCCCCTAATGAATGGGGTTAGATATACCCTATCCCCTAATGAATGGGGTTAGATATACCCTATCCCTAATGAATGGGGTTAGATATACCCTATCCCTAATGAATGGGGTTAGATATACCCTATCCCCTAATGAATGGGGTTAGATATACCCTATCCCCTAATGAATGGGGTTAGATATACCCTATCCCCTAATGAATGGGGTTAGATATACCCTATCCCCTAATGAATGGGGTTAGATATACCCTATCCCCTAATGAAAGGGGTTAGATATACCCTATCCCCTAATGAATGGGGTTAGATATACCCTATCCCCTAATGAATGGGGTTAGATATACCCTATCCCCTAATGAAAGGGGTTAGATATACCCTATCCCCTAATGAATGGGGTTAGATATACCCTATCCCCTAATGAAAGGGGTTAGATATACCCTATCCCCTAATGAATGGGGTTAGATATACCCTATCCCTAATGAAAGGGGTTAGATATACCCTATCCCCTAATGAATGGGGTTAGATATACCCTATCCCTAATGAATGGGGTTAGATATACCCTATCCCTAATGAATGGGGTTAGATATACCCTATCCCCTAATGAATGGGGTTAGATATACCCTATCCCCTAATGAATGGGGTTAGATATACCCTATCCCCTAATGAATGGGGTTAGATATACCCTATCCCCTAATGAATGGGGTTAGATATACCCTATCCCCTAATGAAAGGGGTTAGATATACCCTATCCCCTAATGAAAGGGGTTAGATATACCCTATCTCATAATGAATGGGGTTAGATATACCCTATCCCCTAATGAATGGGGTTAGATATACCCTATCCCCTAATGAATGGGGTTAGATATACCCTATCCCCTAATGAATGGGGTTAGATATACCCTATCCCTAATGAATGGGGTTAGATATACCCTCCCCTAATGAATGGGGTTAGATATACCCTATCCCCTAATGAATGGGGTTAGATATACCCTATCCCCTAATGAATGGGGTTAGATATACCCTATCCCCTAATGAAAGGGGTTAGATATACCCTATCCCCTAATGAATGGGGTTAGATATACCCAATCCCCTAATGAATGGGGTTAGATATACCCTATCCCCTAATGAATGGGGTTAGATATACCCTATCCCCTAATGAATGGGGTTAGATATACCCTATCCCCTAATGAATGGGGTTAGATATACCCAATCCCCTAATGAATGGGGTTAGATATACCCTATCCCCTAATGAATGGGGTTAGATATACCCTATCCCCAATGAATGGGGTTAGATATACCCTATCCCCTAATGAATGGGGTTAGATATACCCTATCCCCTAATGAATGGGGTTAGATATACCCTATCCCCTAATGAATGGGGTTAGATATACCCTATCCCCTAATGAATGATATACCCTATCCCCTAATGAAAGGGGTTAGATATACCCTATCCCCTAATGAAAGAGTTTAACTGATACGCTAGATGCCCAAGTTAAAGGGTTTAACTGAAATAAAAGATCCCTAAGTGAAAAGGATTTAAGGAATATACCAGTAGGGGTGAAGTGGTACAAGGCCTTCAGTTCGGTCCGTTTCAGTTCGGTATATGAGATATGATCATAATGCAAAAAATTGACAACAAGAGCCAAACCTTACATTGTTTAATAACATGGAAAAAAACAGTCATGATGTTTGTTATTCTAAAGGAACAAAACTGTCATTTTATGACTAGATAGAAATGACGGTACGAAAACACCAAATTTGTACAGAATACCAAACAGAAGGCAAAATACCGCGGTTCTCCTAGTACCACGGTATACTGTTTCACCCCTATATACTATACACCCTAGTGAATAAGGTGAAACCAGTCATATCAATGCTCTAAATAGACAACGTTTGCAAACCCACAAAATCAACTGTAGATAAATGCCCATTGGTGGAAACAACAATTTTTCTAATTACAAACATAACACTTACCTTTCTGCCAATCTTCCATCATTTTGTTGTCCAGTTCTGAAATGTATGAAACAAAACTATTATTATTACTGTAATGACCATTGAACAATAAAGTTAAATATAGAACCGTTTAATTTACTTGTTATTGAGATTAGTCTGCACTTTCAGTTGTAAATGCAGAAACACTGACCCAAAGGGCCGGTACCTCACAGACTGACACTTCACAAGTGATTAACTTCCAGTAAAAGTAGAATTTGCGCTAAAGGTGAATGAGGTTTACTGGAAATAAATTGATTTTTCACATTGTGCAAATCATATGATGCTTGATTCTTTTAACAGTCATTTCCATTAATAGAAAGGTTCAGATTTGACTGCCCTGTGGTCAAAAGGTTTTTAAAACTTTAACAAAAATATTTTACCACAAAAAATTATTTTAAGAAGAAGATAAGAAGTCTTCATTAAAATGAATATCAAATCTCATCAGTCAATCAGTATCAGATCAGAGTGAGTTAGTGAGTTTAGTTTTACCCCGCACTCAGCAATATTCCAGCTATATGGCGGCGGTCTGTAAATAATCAAGTCTGGACCAGAAAATCCAGTGATCCACATCATGAACATCGATCTACGCAATTGTGGCCTGGGAACTGATGACATGTGTCAACCAAGTCAGCGAGTCTGACCACCCGATCCCGTTATTTGCCTCTTACGACAAGCATTGGTTACTGAAGATCAATATTCTAACCCGGATCTTCACGGGTCGTGTCTGATCAGAAGATATTTACAAGCCAACTAAAACTACAGCCCTACTATTGAAGCAGAAGCCAGTCTGCCAGTGGTTTGGTTGTTGATTAACGTCACACTCAGCAACATTCTAGCTATATAGCGGCAGCCTGTAAATAATGGAGTCTGGTCCAGACAATCTAGTGATCAACAGCATGAGCATCGATTTATGCAAATTGGGATACGATGACATGTGTCAACCAGGTCAGCGCCTGACCAACCGATCCCGTTAGTCACCTCTTAATTACAACAAGCATGGGTTGATGATGACCAATTCTTCACGGGTCTGTACCACAAGGAATTATGTACATGTTGATGGCCCAGTGTGACAGTGTAGTCTGGTAATACAAAAAACAGTTGAGGTGAGTTGAGGTGAGGTGAAACTGGGTTTTACGTCGTGCTTGAGAATATTTCGCTCATATGACGACGTGCATGCGTGCGTATGTGTATGTGTGGCTGCTTGTACTAGCCCAGGCTTAAGCTGGTTTTATAGTGCTACCCCACTGAGATACCATTGCGCAGTGAAGCATGAATACCCCACTCAGACACATTATACTGACTCCGAGCCGACCATGCCTTGTTGTACCCATTAATGCCAAGTGCCAGGCAGGGACCAACAAGTACCATATTTTAACATCTTTTGGTATGAGGTGGTCGGGAATTGAACCCGCAACCTTTAGCTCTCTGGCAGACACTCTAACCACTACACCACGGAGGCGGTCAGAAACAGTTGAAGGCTAGGGTGTAATGGCATCCAACACAATTCCCTATTTTGAACCTAGATTGATTGAATTCTAGATTCTTATTGCCCATCCATTTTCACTGTGGTGACACCAATTATCATTAAGCTGAGATAGAGCGAACGCTTCGACCACTTGGCTACCCCACCTTCCCATGGTTGGACCGAAAACCTGTTGCCAGATAACATGCCTAACAGAATCTCACATGTCTATCAGCAATTTGAGCCAAAATATGACTGTAAAGGACTATTGATCTTGGCAAACTTCACCACAGCCTGACAGACATGGGCACAAATAAAATAACAGATTCTTCTTTCTCCGGAAGCATGAAAGAAATGATGTACAACATAAATGTAAGTTCAAGCAAATTCAGTGGCAAGGATGTGTTGCCTCATCACAGCTGGAGCTACAACTGAAACGTAGAGAAGGTGCAGTCCGACAAGCACTGCGCATCACTATCTGCACATGTGCATCTCAAGTGGATTATATTCTGACATATTTACAGTTGATGCTGCACAAATGTCAGCTTGTTGTAATTCGTGTTTGTCATTTATTGCCTCGTTTTCCTATAGTTGCCAATTTGTTGGAGAAGATCAGATCATACTCTGATTTCAAGGATTAGAGATTCCGGATCATTCATTGCTTGATATTTACTGGAGATTTATGTACATCTCACTGATTATCACTGATCCATCCATATAGCTTTTTCCTCTATTTTGCCTTTCCCTCCCAGTGGATGTGTAACTTCTCCAGAAATCAAAGACAGATTTACGGAGACTGACATGGTACATTTTACCTTTACTTAAAAAAATTTAAATCAATATTTGTCATGTACTGAGTCTGCCCTGATGCACTTAAGGAGGAGATATTATTTTGTTATATTTTGTGAAATATTAGTGGTAGAAGTAGATTATTTTAAGTTGTAAAACTTTCTTTAAATTCCTAATATTAAAGTATCTCAGCTTAAAGTATTGCTTCCAAACTAATTATGCAACACAAAGTAAATTGAGATAAGTTCTTACTAGAGCGGTTGGCGACTCTCAACTGATGATACCTACATTATGAATTTTCTGAATAGGGATTCAAACCCAGTTTTCTTACGTACCCAAGGGAGGCAACTCTGCAGAGCCCTTCACGACTGAACCACTCATGCCCTTATAGGTCCTAAAGTTGTAACGAGTGCCTTAAACAAACCCTGAATTGTATGGTATTGCAATACTTTGTCAGAATAGGACTTCGGGTTTCAAAGATTTTAGCAATATTCCAGCAATGTCACGGTGGGGGGACACCAGAAATGGGCTTCACACATTGTATCTCCTCCTTCTGAACAAGGGTGGGGAAGAATGGCCTAGCTTGGCCAGAATCTCCCCATTTTGATATATAAACAAGGGTGGGGAAGAAGTGGCCTAGCTTGGCCAGAATCTCCCCCTCTTTTCATAGAAAACAGAACAAATTCTCTTAGTTTAAACATGGTGGAAACTTATGCCTAGGGAGGAAAACTTTAGCCTAGCCCAAACTTTCCTTGGGGTAAGAATATCCTCTGACAAAATTTCCCCGGGGAAAAACTGGCCAGCTATAACGGGTCTTCAGTGGACATTTTAACCATTTCTGGTGTCCTCTGATGTGATATTGCTGGAATATTGCTAAAAGCAGCATAAAACCCAACTCACCTACTCCCTCTGTTCAGATGATAGCACTAGCTTATGTAATAACACTTGAAACCTGTGAATTGTCCTGTGTGATCTAACCTTTTGCCATACAGTGAACTATGGTTATAAGAAACATAAAATTAACAATACTTTTAGTTCATTATAACTGTAATTCGTTAATACAGCAGCATATGCCCCTACCCCACCCCACCCCAAGTAGTTAAAGTTTAAAGTTTAAATGCCACTTAAGGAAGATAAAGTTTAGCAAATGGTGATAATATTCACTTGATCAGATTTCTTTTTAAACTTCAAAAGAAGAGCTACTCTAATTTAAATATTAATTTGTTTTCATATTAATTTCATGATTTACAGTATCTTTGGCTATACCAGTGTGGATATGGTTCGGACAAACCAAGGTGAGCAATCAGGATGAATCTTGAATTCAAACTCACACATCACAGGTTTCTGCACAACAACAGCTCTGCACAGTGAATTATGTGACACTGACAGTGTAGTGTTGAACACAGTAAGTGTGGAAGTGATAAATAAAACGTGCAAGGACTGCAGTAGAGTCCTCCTTTAATTTGTCAAGACACACCCTGAAATACAGTTACTGTGCAATTGTTTAAGGTAGGGGTTAAATTTAACTTACTCACTGTCAGCCATGTTGCATTTGTACAGTGGAACACAAAGAGCTTTGCTTTGATGAGGGTTCACCACAAAGACTTTCCAGCCTTGATTAGTTCTTTCTCACACTGAAGAAGGGATCAATGTTGTGACAGACGAGCCTTAATTATCAGTTACACCACTTGGGGCAAGTTAGGTTAGGCTGACACCAAGTCTCAGACAGGTATTGACATGGTGGGTCTATGTACATACCAGGACAGGACACAAGGACAGACAGATACACAATCACCAGGACAAATTGAAGACTTGAAACAGATTACCAATCACGTTCAAGGCTGGGTAGACATGACTGGAGACAGAAGGACAGAGATTGGTTTCTTGAGACTGATCGAGTAGATGTGATTCTGGAGACTGAAGGACACTGGAGATTGGATCCTGGAGAGACTAGGCAGATGTGACTGGAGACAGATTAGATTCTGGACTGAGGTTTGGTTTTAGCTTTTAGCAATATTCCAGATCCGCGGCATGGGGAGACACACATTGTGCGTGACTGGAGACAGAAGAACGAGAGCTTTGGCACTAGGGACCCCAGCACCCCTTGATTCTGGAGACTGAGCAGATGGATAGAGACTGGATTCTGGAGACTAGGCTGGAGACTGAGCAGACGTGACTGGAGACTGAGCAGACATGACTGGAGACTGAGCAGACGTTACTGGAGACTGAGCAGACTTGACTGGAGACAGAAGGACAGTGTTACGAGTGATGATGTAATACAGGGGTATATTACAACTTCTCTCGCACAACTAAATGGACTACACAACAATCTGTCTAACTGAGAACAATTTAATATGCCTAAATTTAATAATATCCTAATAGTGGGTTGGTAGAAAACATTGATTTATCAATGTAATGCATGAAGAGGGCATTCACTTAACAATAAGTAGTGACAAAGCAATATGGCAGTTGGTAGCTAAAATCTCTTCATTTCCAGAGCTTTCTCAAGTCTGAAAGAACATCATGATTTCATAGTTATGACTTTTCCGTATTTGACACATTCCAACAGGACTGACAAGGGTATAAGAATTGTATATATAATGTCCTCACATCCATATCATGAGAAGAAAACTGGCAGAAATCAAAACTACAATCTACTTCTCAACCAGACCAGAGTAACACTGAGCTTCAGTCCAAGTATTTGAGTTTTTTAAATGCTTTGTGTATAGGCTGGCAACTGTGAATTCAATTACAAAGATAGCTTGCC